ATATATATATATGTATATATACTGCTATTTTTCTTCAAGGAAGGCCAGCTTACTTCGGTGATCTCCACAGTTTGCGGGTATCCCTTCTCACTTCGGCTCTAAAGCGTCTTCAGGCATGCCTCTGAAGCCACAAAGGCTGCTTAAGCGTGCCCGAGCCTTCTTCATTCCATCCCTAGGAAGCCCTACAAAACTGATCCCCAAGTCTTTGAGCCCTAAACCCTAAACCCCAAGCCTTGAACCCTAAACAAAAAAGCCCTAAGCCCGAAACCCTAAACTCTAAGCCTTTTCCACAGCTTTCACCTTCGCCGCTCTGCAGGCCCTCGAGGACGCGCAGGCCAGCAAGGCCGGCCCCAGACTGCGCAGCTCCGGACGTGCGAACGAGGCATACTATACTTGGCGGTTCATGGGTAGTTATAAATGGAGTTATAAGTCTCCTAACATGGGTTACAACTATAGTTACTCTACTTATAAGCCTACTCATAACTACCCATGAACCTCCAAGTAGGGGCCTTAATAATTCCTTAGGGTTCCTTATTATAAGTATAGTATAATATAATTACCTATACTATTTGGGGGGTTTCTTATTATAATATAATACAATTACCTATATTTTTTTTGGGGGTCGTTATTATCAGTAGAGTATCATGGGCCCCAAAACCCTATTCTAATTATTAAGGCCCCTATGTTACCTAGTTAGTCGGAACGCGAATATGTAGGTGTGCATGCGTGATGCGTGTCAGTAGGTGCATCAACATGGAAACAATAGGCTTGTGCTCATGCTCGAGATAAGGCCGAGATAGGAGATTATGGACAGATATGTAGCTCCTGTGTCCGGTCTTGACCTTGAGGGTGGGCCGACTGTCGATGTGAAAGAGTCGTGTGCGAGTTGGCAAGATAACTTGCGGTACACCTTTTCAGAACTTTCCTATTCTGTTTCAGGCTTAGACCAGCAACAAGCCTAAACCCCGAAGTCTCAACTCCAAGCCTACACGTCTCCATCCCGAAAGTCCCAGTCCATGCCCCTGAGACAGGCGATATGACCCAACACCCTAAACCCCCCCAATAAAGCCGAAAACCCGAACCCGCCCAACCGCAAAGCCCTGTAACCCCAAA